ACACATCTTGCGTTTGCGGAAGACATAATTCTCCTTTCGAGAGGTGACAAGGACTCTGTTGGAATCCTTCTGGACTGCATTGCTAACTTTAGTCAAGTTTCTGAATTACAGCTTAATATTGGAAAGTCCAATGTTTCCGTTGCAAGGGCCTCCCTTCAGTTAGAAACTTATTTGGTTAACGCCACTGGTTTCCCGAAGGGCTCCATCCCCTTTAAATACCTTAGTGTTTGTGTGGCACCCGAAAAACCCAAGGTTACTCACTTTGATGGCTTAATTGTGAAAATTTCCAACATCATCCGGGTTTGGAGTGGTTGTGATCTTTCCTTTGCAAGTCTTTTGGAGCTCATCATATTAGTTCTTTACGGTTCTTGTGGCTTTTGGTTCTCTATTTTTCCGATGCCTCACACGGTTATTCACCGTATCATCAAGCTTTGTCGGACCTTCTTTTGGCAAGGTAAAGGCACTGATGTGTCATGGAAAACAATCTATTCGCCTAGAACTAAATGTGGACTTGGCCTTCGATCACTCTCGGAGTGGAACGAGACTCTTCTTACTAAATATAGTTGGCGACTATTCTCGGATAATGAGTTTTTGTGGGTGAAGTGGATGCATAATAAATACTTTAAGGTGCAGGATATTTGGACTCGACAGGCTAAGCAGAATGATTCTTTCTTTCTAAAGTCTTTGCTGCAGATACGTGATAAACTATTGCATCATTTTGGTGATGTTAACTGTGCCCAAGTTGGAATTACGAGCTTGTACTGCCCCACGAAAAACACTAAGGCTATATACTGCTGCTTTTGAATTCCAGGTCCTCACTGTGACAATGCTGGCACAATCTGGAAGGGCGGTGCTCTTCCCAAACACAAGTTCATCCTCTGGCTAGCTGTTCAAGGTAAATTGAAAACAAAAATCCAATTATCATTCATTGATATTGACCTCACTTGTGTTCTTTGCAAGGATTTTGTGGAAGACATGGACCATCTATTTTTCAAGTGCTCATTTGCTTCAAAAGTTTGGCCGGATATATGCAGATGGCTTAAAATCCCGACGAATCTCGACTCCATTGAGAAATCCGTTTCATGGCTTAAACAAAATTGCGACCCAGATCATAACCTTCAGTCTATGAGACAGGCTGCTTTTGCTGCTAGAGTTTACTACATCTGGACTGCCAGAAACAAAAGAGCTCTCGAAAATTTTTCTTTGGAGCCGAGTACTTCTTCGACTAAAATTAAGATATGATGTTACCATAATTTCCTTATGACAGACACCTCTACTTCAACTATGACGAAGAGAGGATCAGACCAGTGACTCTTCTGCCTTGGACTATTTCTGATTTTTCCTTGTAATTAATTTAATTAATTTACTCTATTTTTGGTTTCCTTTCGGACAGTGTTCTAGTGGAATCATTTGAGGTTGTTCCTCATTTTTACTTTCCTTTTGATCTCTCGAGTATGCCCGGCGTACTTGTATATATTCCTCTATAATTTATATCTATAAAATCCTTGATCTTTTCTATAAAAAAAAAAGAAAAGAACACTCGATGATATCAGATTCTTCGTCATCTGTGGAACATGACTGACTTTATTCGAGGTGCAGAATACCTCATCATGTATCTGTATCCTGATTGAGCCAATTCCAACCACCTTGCAGACAACACTGTTGGCCATACAAACATTGCCTCTATCTATCTGCTCATGGATCGAGAAAAATTCCCTGTTATGACAAATATGGTATGATGCCCCGCAATTGAGAACCCATACATTATTACGTTGTGGCTATTCATCAGCAACCAATGCTAGATCTTCTTCAAAATTCGTATCAGTTTCTGCTACGGCTGTAGAACCATCGATACCTGTTTTTTTCTCCTACTACATCTTCTTCTGAGGACAGTCATTCTTCCAGTGCCCCGGTTCTTTACAGTAATTGCAGATGTCTATGGGTTTAGGACCTTTTGAACCGTTATGGTTCGGCTTTTTCTTTCCAAATTTCTTATGCCCCTTACCCGTAACAAACAACCCTAATGCCTAATTTTCTGTGGCCGAATCAGATGCCTGTTGACGATCTTCTCTGCTTTTGAGGGCAGATCGAACATCTTCCAGAGACAAATTATCTTTCCTCGTAAGATAAGATTCAACTAAATTCTCATATGACTCTGGAAATGATACGAGCAGAATTAAAGCAACATCTTCATCATCTACTTTAACATCAATATTTTGCAAATCAAGTAGAATTTTGTTCAACTTATCCAGATGATCCCAAAGAGAGGTACCTTCCTGCATTCGTAGCCTGAATAGACATTGTTTCAGAAGCAACTTATTGGTTAGAGATTTCGTCATGTACAAATTCTCCAACTTCTTCCAAAGGCCAATAGCAGTTTCCTGATCGGAAACTTCGATGATGACATCATCGGATAAACGCAACATGATTTTCGGGTGAGGTTTTTCCTCTGCGGTATCCCACTCTTCAACATCTACTTCTGCTTCAGCAAAGATTGCATCTTGATCTGCCATAAGCTAAAACTATTTCTCCTGGTGAATTTCTCAACCTTTACGTTGAAAATAGACATTGTTGATTGACTCACGAAACCCTAACAATGCGGAAATAAACAAAGCCATGATCAAAACGACCACGCTTTGATACCAATTTGTTGTGACGGATTAGAGTTAATGATTGAATAACAAACCAGAAAATGTAAAGACGACACAAATTTACGTGGTTTACTTACAATGTGTTGGCTACATCCACGGGCAGAAACGGAGAACAAATTTATTTATGATGGCAAGGTTACAGATTACAGATTTCGTATCCCTAAGTCTCTTTAAATAAAGTAAGAGAATACATAAGACGAGCACATCTCAATACCAACTCTATGAAAATTCAGCGAAATGACAAATTAGACTCAAGACATATAAACACATATGATAAATACAAAACATCTTTTACAATTCAAATAATCCGGGTCGGCCCACCCCTTTTACTCAAATCTAAACCTAAACCCATATATTCCTTAAGCATAAGGTTTGTTTCTTTTGCCACAAATTTCAAATTTTTACTATTTAGATTATGCATTTTCCGAAAACATTATACTTTTTATCTCATAAACATCTCATCATCGTTTTTTTCGTCATCGGTAGAAATGGAAGAAATAGGAAATCGATTTTCCCATATTTGGATTCCAGAACTTGAGCATGTAGGTTTTGTTCCAATTTGGTTAAATTAATTGCTCAAATCAAGGCGTGTTCATTTCTGTTCTTTAATTTCTAGATATGCCTTTTGACTTGGGCGGCGGCTACAGTGCTGAGTTTAAAATTCAGCATTATATTGAACAACACATCATGTGCTATTACACAACACATTATATTACTACAAACAACATAATGTATATGTTAACATAATACAAATACAACACATGAACAAAAAACACATGTTATAGTCACAACAACACAAAATATTACGACTGACAACACACAATATTACTACAGACAACACATTATATATGTTAATATAATACAAATACAACACATGCTATAGTCTCATACAAAACAAACAACAGTTAATTTTAACATATGACATACTTGTATACAACACACTTGTTATTATTAAAAAACAACACATCCCCTTATTATACACAACATGTGCGGTAAATAATACTAATGTGTGCTGTTTGTATATATAACGCGTGTTGATGTGAAAAATCAGCATGGTGATAAATACCGTAACTATTTCATTTGTCTTGATTGTTAAATATGTAATTTCTATTTCGATCAGATTCAATATTGATTTTGATTTTATTTGAATTTGCTTCTATTAATTAATTCGTATAATTTTGTATGTATGGACCTATTCTTTTTATATATCTTTTTGCAAAATAAGCTCAGATTCATGTTTTTCATATTTTTTCGTTAGGCCTAAATTCTCTTTTATTCGTCTATTTAGTTTGTTATATGTATTTTGTTCTCGACTTCAACGAATGATATACAATTCAAAAAATTCCAATCACCTTCCTCGTTGATCTCACTATGTATGAAAGTAAAAAAGTAATTTACTTTATGTTTATTTTTTAAAAAGAGAAATGAGAATAAAAAAATTTAAAATAAATTTTAATTAAGTCTTATATAACATAATATTTAAAAAGTAAATTAAATGTATAGTTTCAAATTAGAATGTAAATGAATTAAAAATTTTATTCGATTAGATATTCGTATTAAAATTTTGTGAATAAATTCGAATAAAAATATTCGATTTGAATATAAATCAAATTGTAAATATAAAATTTTTCTATTCGATTTTTCATTCGTAAATATTTGATTCGATGATAAAAAAATATATAAATATTATAAAATATAATAGTTTTCAATTTATTAATTATAATACTTTTAAATTTTATATAAATAAATATAATATAATTAAAATTACATTTATACAATAATATTTGTATTTATGTTAGAGTAATAAATTTTTTTATTAATGTGAAAAGATAATAAATAATAAATATTTATATATTTTTATGAAGCCCTTTTTAATACTATTATTAAATTTTTATTTAATAGAAATTCTAATCTAAATTCGAATATAATCAAATAAGATAAAAATAAATTATATTTGAAATCAAATATTTGTATAATATTAAAATTAAATCTATTTGAATCAAATCAAATAATTTAAAAACTATTTTAAATTAAATACAAATATCATTTTAAAACAGCCCTAATATAAACATGGATTTATCTGATAGCTAATTCATAAAAGTGTAAGCATAAAGAGGGTCTTGCCTTTACTGGTTACTTTTAAACCCGCCTTTTTTGTCGGGCAATCTTGACCGTTGATTATCATTCCGTTCAACAACACCAATTACCATGAAATATTATATTCATATTCCGGGCGCCATTAATTAATTAATTAATCAATTAAGTCACAGTCAATTTTGATTAATTAATTAATTAATTAGTTAATTATGATAAAGTCTTAGCAGCCCTGCGCAGTTTCGGATTACAAAATTGAAAGAGTTAGTTGAAAGTAGGATCATCGCTGGCGGCGCTATTTTGAATTTAACCGCTTGACGGGGAGCCAGCCAGCCATGGCTTCGGTTGGAAGGATATGCTCGGGGGGTAGGTTTCTCTCTCGTCCTTTTCTTCCTTGTTGCTTCTGCGAAAATTCAAACGTGTTTTTGTTCTTGTTGTGTTTTGGAATTAATTGTCGTACTCATCATGTTGATGGTTGTGTGTGTGGATGTGTTATTTGATTGAAACAGGCATCCTCCTATCGGGAATGCTGCCGATATCCAACAAATTGAACGCCAGGGAGGCGAGAATTCAGGAAATCGTTGAATCGGAGAGCCTTTCCGTAAGGAGCAAAACAATTTTACTTTGGCGTATTTTAACGCGATCGGAGGAAGAAGCGGGAAAAAATATGTGGATTTTGTGCATAAATGCGTGATTGAGGAAAGTGTAGGTGATTTTGTTTTTGATTTCGCTCTGGTTTTTCCCATCGATCGAGAAATTGATTGAGAAAATGGCGATTGACCGGTTACCTATTGGCGCGAAAACTATCGTTGTGGGGATAAAATTGGATGCTGAGGCTAAAGAGCTTCTGGATTGGGCATTGGTGAAAGTAGCCGATCCTGGAGATTGCGTTTTGGCTATCCATGCTTGCTTCAATTCTGGTACAGTAGAATCGGTAATTTTTTTGGTTGTATTCCTTTCAGTGTGTGGATTGAATTTCGCTTGATTTGTAGAATGCATTCCGAGACAGAAGACATTGTTGGATGGTTATTTGGTAGATTACGAAGGACTATGCAACAGCAAAAAGGTGTTTTTACTGCTCACAAGAATTTTACTGTGATTGTTACAGTTTTAGTTGATGACACCACATGTATGACAGATCATTGTTCGTCGTTTTTGTTGCTTTATCTTTGGTTATAACTTTATTTGCTGTGGGGATGGTGGGGTGTTCAGGTTGCTCTCAATGGTGAGGTCCTGAAAGGGAATTCTACCCGAAAAGTTCTGCTGAATCTAGCTAAGAACATTAGTGCATCATCTCTCATAGTTGGAGTAAACAAGTATACTTCATTCATGTAAGCATATTCAAATGCGAATTATGAAGCATATGAATTATGTTCTGTAAGTGTTGATTGTATTCGTAGCTGTTTGAATATTCAGGCACCGCGTTTCGACTGCTAAATATTGTGCAAAGAGACTGCCTCCAGCTACAGAAGTTATGGCTATTTATAATGGGAAGGTAGTTTTCAGCAGGTGTTCGAAATTCCTATTCGAAGGTTGAGTCATGTTCTTGAAACAATCTGTTGTATACTTTTGCTATTTCTTCGCAGAAATTTGATGTGCCTTTGATGGTGGCAGGTCCTTGTTTGGATCCGAAACCCAGTTTCTACACCAAGGACATTGTGCTCAAAGACATTCTATCCGAGTTTGGGGAATCAGAGGTATCAGAGGACATAAGTTCAAAAGAAGATATCATTGTCGTAAGCCCCATCAATGGACGCCGGAAAGCATCTCTAAGCTCAATTTCACTTCCTGCCGAGGATTTCACTAAGCAGAGGCCCGGTTGGCCTCTACTTCAGACGAGTAGTTTAGTAACTCAGCCGGCATTGGATGCAAGGAACATGTCTGTGGTGCAGTGGGTAATGGCTTTGCCACAGCGGCATTTGCTCGATGTTTCTGTAGCAACCTCATACGACACTGATGATTCAGTCGAAAGGGAGTATGTGAAGTTAGCTGAAGCGAGCGCGATAACAGACATGCTTGCAAATAGGCGGGAACTTCCCGAGGATTTGAAAGCTATCCTTATTAGAAACTCAGCAGACTGTGAAATATTCAGCTATGGCTTTCTTCGAGCTGTCACTTCAAACTTCTCCTCAGGTTGCTGTTACAAACAATCAATGCCAATCTCATCAAAGTTTTCTAAATACAGATATATTCATTTCTGCAGATAATCTAATTGGAAAGGGAGGCTGTAATTCGGTGTACAAAGGATTGCTTCCTCAAGGCAAAGCAATAGCAGTGAAGACATTGGATCCATCAAAAGGATCTTGGAAGGATTTCATCCGAGAAATCGACATAGCAACCGCATTGAAGCACAGAAGCATCGCGCCATTGCTTGGAATTTGTGTCGAGGAGAATGATCTAATCTCTGTTTATGATTTCATGCCGAAGGGGAATTTGGCCGAGAATCTTCATGGTAAGAAAGTTAACATTTATTTCTTGGGATCGATTAGTGTGCTAAGTAGAACTAATCAGCACTGTGCTGATCAACTTCAATCATATAAAAACAGATAATCAACACATGGTCTCAATTAACACAACATACATTGTGTTAACTGAGATCATGCTCTGAGTTCACAGTTTATAAAGTTTGTATGCACTATTATTATATGTTTTCAATCTATATGTATTGTATTAATATGCATCTTATGTTTGTCTTTTTATACTTTATATGTTGTATGTCAATAATTCATCAACTGTCAGCACAGCACAATACTTCTTTCTTATAATGGTTGAGAATTAACTAAACCATCGAAGTCGGCAGGTAACAGAAAAGGGACCTCTGGCTTACCATGGCAAGCAAGATTCCGAATAGCCGTTGGGGTCGCGGATGCGCTAACTTACTTGCACGATGAATGTCCGAGGCCGGTGATCCACAAAGATGTCAAGTCGTCCAACATTCTCCTAACCGATGAATTGGAGCCACAGGTACTCATTCATTCATTCATTCATTAATTTCATCAAAGAACAGTACTAGCCAGCCAATGATGATATATACATATACTCCATAGTCGTAATTAATTAGCTGGTTACGTAAAATTTTGGTGGAACATGAACAACAACAACAACAGCTATGTGACTTTGGGCTGGCTGTATGGGGTCCGACAAGAGAAGGAGAATCATTTGTAATGGATAAGGATGTGGTGGGAACGTTTGGGTATTTGGCTCCTGAATATTTCATGTACGGTAAAGTGAGCGAGAAAATAGATGTGTATGCTTTCGGCGTGGTTGTACTGGAATTGCTTTCAGGGCGGAAACCGGTGGGAATAGTAGAGACTACAAAGGGTCAAGAAAGCTTTCTCATCTGGGTAAGACCAACCTCTATACTCTCTCTACTCTATATTTCATGTGGTTTCTACTTCTATTTAATTTTTTTTTATTTGGACTTTAGGAGGTTTCTAAAATACATACTTTAGGATTGTTTAGATAGAATTTCTGGAATAAATTAGACAATTTTAGAAATATTATACTCAATGTGTCCATTTCCTATTTTTTTAATTTAGTAATTGTATTACATACTTAACATAATTAATACTCTTACAATTTTCAATATATTACACAATTTTATATGACATAATTTAATAAGGGCATTTTTTTTTCACAGTAAATCAATATAATATTAATACTATTAAAAAATCTAGATGCAAAAAGCAAATTAAAGTAGTATTTGTCCATCACTTAACAATTTATATATATATATATTTTTATTTTGGTGTGTTTCATAACAAAATATCTATTTCGTTTTTTTAATAGTTGTAATGTCTACCTAACATTACAAATACCCTTTTCAATTTACAATATATTACATAAATGTCATTACTTTTATCATAAAATACTAATAATGTTAGTTTACCGGTTTTATTTTTATTTCTACTATATTTCAATATAATATTAATATTTTTAAAATTCCGTGCACACAACAAATGAATAGATAAATATGAGACGAAGGTAGTATTCTATTTGATGTGATTTTTTTTTTTTTTGAAAAGAAAATTTGTTATTGTAAAAATAAATTTAAAAATGTGTCCACTGATTGATTCAGGCAAAAGGGAAGTTAGAAAGCAGGGATTATAAGAGTATATTGGATCCAAAGGTGGATGGAAAAGTGGATGAGGTACAGTTGCAAAGAATGGGAGCAGCTGCTGCTCTTTGCCTTACTCAAGCAGCCCGTCTACGTCCCAAAATGTGCCAGGTACTTTAATTAGCTTGTGTTGTTTTGATTTAGATTTTTGAGGTTTGAGAAAATAAAATACTCAAAATTTAATCTGAAATGCTATTAATAGTATTACATAAATATATAGATATTTAATATAATTATTATTTTTTTTTTCTAAAAAAATATTTTTATTAATAAATAATATAATTTTTTTTAAAAAAATACATAAGCAAACAAGCCCATATTGAGTGAAATTGAGATAATTCCTCCATTTGTACTCAATCTATCTATTTAATTATGATTCTCCTGAAAATGACTAAAACTTACATTGTAATTATTATTAGTACTATTTATTTTAACTTATTCAAAAATATATATAAAATATTACTATTTTAAGACTAAGAAAGATGATATATTATTGTTGCAAATGAATTGATCAGGTAGTGAATGTTCTTCATGGATTGGAAAGGGAAAGGGAAACGGATAGGGATAGGGATGGTGATGGAGATGATGCATTTTATGATGATGAAGAAGAAGAAGACGATGAAGTTTATCCAGAGTCGAGCATTGAAAGCCATCTCATAAATCTTGTCGTTGGTTGATGTGAGACATCCACGTGGCACATCACCACTTGTGCTTATTTATTCAGGTATGTTTTTCGGCGTAAGGTGGAAATTAGATTCGAGATTCGACGGAACAAGTCACAATAATCGAATTATATATGACAGACAAGAACGGAGACGTCAGGGGGTATGGTGAGATAAACAACTTACCACACTTAGTTTGATCGGCTCTCAGTTCGATTTATTTATAGACATAGATTAGTCGAGTTTGAGAATTACTTTTTTTGTTGCGATCAAAAGTATCTTTTTGGATTATTTTTTTTAATAATAGATTACAAAATAATAATGTTATATTAGTTAATAAAAATGTAAAATAATTTTGATATTTTTATCATTTGTATTTAATATATGAATTAATTGTAAATGTAAAGATATATTTATAATTTGTGTAAACATTTAAGGGTATTTTACTATTTGTGTAATTATTTTTATTATAATAAAAAATTAATACTTGACAAAAGAAATAATAAAAAAATAATTTCAATTGGCACCGAAAAAATATCAATTTTGTAAAGGAAAAACTAGTTTCATTAAATCATTAATAGTGACATGTTTCTTTAATTTTTAGGCTGCGGATTAGGTGCACCCAATTACTGAATACTTTAAAAAATGGTTATATTGATTTATCACATTAATTATATTATTGATAATTAAGTTTTTACATGATCAACACTTATGCTAAAACAAAAAATAAAATAAAATAAAAAATCAGGGTCTAAATCGTTATTTTTATATATTACTCTTTCTATCTCATCTTTTGTGTTTGATTTACTATACAAAATTTTAGGTGAAGTATAATTAGTAGTTAAGAAGTATATTAGTAAAAATAATTATTTTATAATAAAAATAATTATAGATTAAAAATAAGATAACTAAGTAGTATAATTAAGATTAAAAAAATTATAAAATTTAAAATTTAAAATTTAAAATGTGATTAAAGTGTATAATTATACTTTTTTAAAAAAAGGACAAATAAGGTGAAACAGACGAAAATAGAAATAATTGACGAAAAAAAGTGGGACTGATGGAGTAAGAAAAAATTGGGTGTTACGATGGTATCTAATTCCTATAACGAAATTATTGATTGAACAACAATATAACTTTAAATCGATGATCGAATCTTTAATAAGGCTTTTTATGCATTTCTTGGGTTGAATGTTTAATACATATTTGAAATCTAAATCTTATGTCTTATCGCTTTATTTTAGTTAGATATTTAATCCCTCCTTCCAATATTTATTTGTAACTATACAGAAAATAATTTATACACTCTTGTAAATTAGACCAAAAATTCAAATATATATATATATATATAAACAAGTCCTTGTATACTGGTTTTGGAGACAAATAAATTACAAGGACTTATTTAATTTATGATTAAATCATTAACATAAAGAAATATATGCAATAATTTATCATGTAATATATAATTAAAATGATAAATCCAATCATGTACGTCTATATAGACAGAAAACGTAAGTCGCTCGCTGATATGAAAAATCAAAGTGAACAAGATCTTGAGGAAATGCAACAATAATGGGAACGATATCACCCCGACCTTGAAGACCTCTTAGACGAAGAATCCATCCATCTGTCTAATTGTTGGGGTGAAGGTTCTGAGTCCGAACAAGACAATGGTTGCATCACCATTTCCCTGGTTTTGGAGACAAATAAATCACAAAGAGTTACATTAATTTATGAGTAAATTATTAACATAAGGAAATTTTTTGAAATGCTCCAAATTTTACTTGAGCATCCAAATATTGGTCATGCAATAATTTATCACGTAATATATAACTAAAATGATGAATCCAATCATGCACGTTCATATAGATAGAGAACGTCAATTGCTCGCTGATATGAAAGAACGAATCGAAAAAAATCTTGAGGAAATGTAACAACAATGGGTATTATTTGTTTAGGGTGATAATTATTGTTTAAATAGTGGCTTAATTATTCGTTTTGTTCACCTAATATTTTTTTCAATTGCGATTCCAAAAAAATAATAATAAATAATACAAAATATCTTTTAAAAAAATTAAAATGTTAAAAAAAAAATCACATGCTCATTAATGACTTATGTTAATTGAACATTATATATATATATATAATGTTACAACATTTAGGAGAAATTGCAATAAATATCTCGTACATATAGTCAATTATCAGTCTTGTCATTTAAATGTCACTATGGCACTATATATCCTACAAGTGTCACATTGTCGCGACTTTCATCCTCCAGGCATCGCGTCAAGTTCATGGCAAAATAATTTCACGCGCTTATCGAATGTAGGACAAGACACGTGTCAGAAGGTTGTGGTTGTTATATATATATATATATATATATTTCAATTTTTAAAGTACAATAATTGCAATTTCAACCAGGGAAGAAATTGCAAAATCCTAATTTATAACCTAACCCATCAATTTCTTCTCAAGAATGTTCATTTCATTGTCTTCTTCGAGCCAACAACTGGAGTCTTCAAATAATTGCATACTGACGATTTCAATTGTTTACCCAAATCACAACCGCCATTGTAAGTTACTTCCTCGACCTATTTTATTAGTTTTTATTCTTTCCATTTTTCGGTCTCATTTGCATTTATATTATGAAGAATGTTGAACTTGGGCAACGAGCCAAGTGAATCCGTTGAGTAGGATAATGAACATGGTGGTGGGAATCCATTGTACGATAAGTATATATTTATTGTCACTTTCTCATGAATGTGTATTATTTTTTAGGAACAATATCATTTGTCAATTCAAAGTAATGTATTTTTAGTATGGTGGGGCTACCAAAATAACTCTTTTTTAAACAGACAAATGACTCATTTTTTAATGCTGGGCAATTTAGTTGGTCCCCCACTGATTTTTGGTATTATACAATTTTGGGTGTAAAAATCCAGTAGTTTATTGATGTATGGTATTTTATTTCATGCATAAGAAAAAAGCACGTATCTATAACATTGTGTCTACACCACGGAGGAGTATTGTATCAAACACCCACAACAAAGTATGTTGGAGGTTCGACTGAGAAGGTGGATTTCGTGGTAGAAGGCAGTATGTGCAAATAAACGACTGAGGCATATGCCAAAAAATATTGGATTAAATATTCCTCCAAATAGTAAGTTCGATATACTACATGGTAATCATTCATATTGTTAAACAAAGATGAAGAGTATAAAGATGTTGCTTATGAGAGCCTTGTGTACATAAGAAGAGATATTTATATTGACACTTGGGAAAGTGGTGTGGAAGGTTTAGATGGAGCCACCGATGAAGAAAATAGTGATTTAATTGTAGGTAGAGGTAGCCATTGTAGTGATGATGAACTATTTGATGAGTTTGTAGATATGGAGTGTGAAGGTGCTGGGGTTGAAATATCATCTTTCGAGGAGTATAATATGTGGTAGGATTTACATGTTGGCGAGTGTGAGGAAATGGTTGACAATGAAGAAGGTAATGTTGGTGGGGACCATACACAACTTAGTAGACACGATTTGGAGATAGGAGTTGAGACTGACAATATGGAGAATGATGTAGTAGTTCGTAGTGATGGGAAGTTTGCTGAGTTGAGGCTATCTGATGATGACGTAGCTGAAGGGAGTGAAGGAAAAACTTTCCTAAAGTTCAACCCTATTGATGAATACTCACAAAAGTTTGAAATAGGTATGGTATTTTCTTCGAGAGATGAGTTGAAGCGGGCCATCCAATCGTATGTCATTGCTCAAAGAAGAAGTGTGACATTCACAAAAATAGACAAGGCGAGGTTATATGCAAGGTGTAAGGAAGAAATTGTGATTGAAGATAAATGCATTAAAGATGAAAGATGAGATAACATTCCAAATTAGTATGTTGCAGACATCACATGCACAGTCCTGCCTTTCCACTTTCAATGTGTCTAACTTGAAAACTTCATGGTTGAGTGAGAAGTTTGCACACAAGTTCAAGTGTGATCCGAAAAGAGATGTTCGTGGTTTCCGAAAAGAGATTGTGAGAGAGTTGAATGTTATTATATCGAAGGATCAAGCATATAAGACAAAAAGAAAAGCACTGGAACAGATATCCGGTGATCCAGTGTACTAGTATAGGCATTTATGGGATTACGCCAACGTATTGAGGCAGACTAATCCTGGATCAACAATTTTGTTGGGTGTGGAGCAAGATGATGAGGAATCAATTTTCGATAGGTTCTACGTTTGCTTTCATGCCTTGAAGGATGGGTTCAAGGCTGGATGTAGACCGATCATTGGGGTGGATGACTGCCATTTAAAGACAACGCACAATGGTGTTTTGCTCATTGCAGTAGAGATAGATCCGAACAACAACTTATTTCCGATTGCCTATGCAGTGGTCAGTAGCGAATCTGGAGAGACTTGGGCTTGGTTTCTAAGAATTTCGAAGAGAGATTTAGAGATTGGCAATGATAAAATGGTCACATTCATGTCGGATAAGCAAGAGGGTTTGGTGCAAGCTTTTCAGAGGGTATTCCTAGGTTGTGATCACAGATCTTGTGTAAAGCATTTACACAATAACTTCACAACTGTGGGTTTTAGAGAAATCACATTAGAGAATATTGTATGGCGAGCTGCTTTGGCGTCAACCCCCTAGGAGTTTAGACGTCGAATGCAGGAGCTAAGGGATTTAGACATCAAGGCATAAAATTGGTCCGAGGATAAATCATCTGCTCCGTGGAGTAAATCGGGGTTTAAGGAATTTTCAAAGTGTGATATGCTTTTGAATAGTGTTTGCGAGAGCTTTAACAGTGCTATTTTGGAAGCCCGAAGGCAGCCTACTGTAACCATGCTGAAAAATTTTAGACAGTACTTAATAAAACAGATGCAACAAAATAGAGACATGGCACGGCATAAGTGGCAGCAACTAAGATTTTGCTTTTGCTTTTGCTTATGCTTATTTTTTACCATTAATTTTTCTTCAATTTTGTTTAGGCATGGATGGAAATGGATTCATTAAATTGAATTTTTTCTTTGAAAACAATTAATATTTAAGTGGATCCGGAAAGTAAGGGTGTGTTTGTTTTGTGAAAATAGTTTAAAATGATATTTTTTATGTAAAATATAAAAAATTATATAGATAATATAAAAATAATGTAATATATTAATTTTTTTGAAGAAGTATATTGATTAATTTTCACAAAAAAAAAATTCCCTAAAAATATTCAAACAAGATAAGTACACATTCAAAAAATTATTGAATCCATTCAAACATATTCATTAAAAAGGATAAAAAAATACTATCTCCTTCCTATAAATCCAGTTTGATTTGACTTTTGCGTCACTATATTTAATATTAAAAATAATTTTATATAAAAATAATTTATTCTAAAAATATATTGTATTTGTATTATAAAAAATAAATAGAGTTATTTTTGTCATTTTTTTAATTTGTACTATATATTTAATATAATATAATATTCAAATATCAATACGAAAAAAAACTATAGTATTTTTTATGGACTGAAGATAGTATTATATTTTTAATAATATTTTTAAAAGGTTATGTAACCTCTCCCTGGAATGGTATGAGACTTTTTATTTTATTAGTGCATGTTATTTAAGATAATAAAATAAGTTAATAATAGAAATTTATAATATTATTTTATTATATTTTATGTAATTGATATTATTTATATTTTTAAAATAAAAATTAATATATTATTAATTTCTTCTTAAATATATATTTAAATATTATAAATATTATATCTCAATAATATATAATATCAATATTATTTTTTTTAAAAAAAAATTTATACATAATACAAATAATAAAAAATATTATTTATTTATTTATGATTTAATAAAAAAAATTTTTTATAAAAAATAAAAAAAGCTAAATATAAATAAATATATTTATTTATTAGAAAAAGATAAAAAAAAATAATAAAATTTTGAGTAAAACTTATAGTAAGGTATTAAGAATTTAATTTAATTAATTTATATTTATTAAATGTATTTAAAATTGATAAATTTATTAAAAATAAAAATATGAAACAAAATGAAATAAAAAATATATATATATCAATTGTTATAAAACAGAAATAATATTTTCTTGTCTTCAAACCTAAGTTTCTATTATTCGACTCTGCATTTTTAAAAAAAAAAATACATTTTTTTTTCTCTTACAAAACATTCCATCATATATTATTTTAATACCAATTCAAACTAAATTTTTTTCAAATATATCAAAAAAAAAACATAACCCAAACGGTAAAAATATATATATATATATATATCAATGCGATTTTAGAGACCCTATATTCTTTAAACAAGGCTTTTCCAAAGAAAACCAAAAATAAACGCACAATCGCATTGCTATACCATGTATATATATATATTCTTAGGGTGTGTTTATTTGGGACATTGGATTTTAATTCCACTGTTCATCATTTTTTTTTTCCAAAAAATATTAAATCAAACACCTATTTTTTATTTTTTATATTATACTAAAAATCAATTTTACATTCAAAACATCGTATCAACACCTAATTATATCACATCATACAACTATTCAAATTCAATATTTTTACTATTCAAATCCCAACTCAAAATCCAAACTCCCAAACAAACACACCCTTAAGTGTCTGGATATGTTTATTTTGATATTTATTTAATTTGAATTTGATAAAAAAACACACCATGAATGAAATGTAGGATAAAAGATTAAATGCAGCGTCGACCCAGCCTCGGGCAGTTGAGGCGCTGCCCATGCCCATCCATCTTCATATCTCTCTCATACCTCAACTGCCCATGCCCGTGCCCATGCCCATACATCGTCACATCTCTCTCATTCTTATGTATTTCATTCTAACCGGATGGAAGAATTGCGGAAGAACTATCATCAGCTGCCGTTTATTTTTTTTATAGAACGATGGAGCAAAGGGAGACATTTTTGGTCAGTCAAATTTTCTCTCATTTTTCTTTCTAATTTTTCTGCTAAATTACTCTGTTATTAATTTTGACAAAGTCAACAAATCAATATTTAACTATTATTCTTCGTTCAACACTTATTTACAACAAATGTCATTACATTTATTACATTTCTCTCCACGTTTTTTTAATTTCTAACTTACTTTTCAAAAATACCCAATTATCTTTCTATTTTATCACTTTTTTAATAAAATATTTATTTTTCGGACCCAAATATTCAAATTTTTTAGGAGAGTATTTTATTAGAGGCTTCTGCCGACTTGTATATGAAAGTTGCAGGAGAAATGATTTATTCAAACTCGGTCAATAAAAAGGACTTGGGAGGCCTTTTATCTCTCATTACTACTGCAATTACCCTAAACAAACAATTTTCTCCAGATGATATAGAATTTGTAATTTATTGCTAACAGCTGACAATTCTCAAAATTATTATTTATTTTCCCTAAAAGCAATTTTTGGCATAAAGGGGTTAGATGTTCATTTTCTAATTAGTTCCTGTGTTGTGTTGTTCAAACAATGCCCATCTTTATTTATTAGCACCATCTTAATTATTCCAATCAATATATAAAAATACTATTAAATGTTTTATTAAGTTATAATAATAATAATAATAATAATCCAATCAAGCATATCAATATAATAAAAAAAAGTAGCTGCACATGTCATGCTAATTAGGGATGGAAATACGACACGTGTCTGGCCGGGTCTAGGGTCTACAGTCTAGCCTACATAAGGGTTTATTTGGTCTGACCTGTTTACTAATAAGACTAAATTCAAATATATTTGAATAGATTTAAGTTTTACGAAAAACCTTTTTAACCTATCAATCGGACCTATTTATATATTTATATAATATATATTTTTTAATCTAGTATATGTAAATATTATGTTTTTAATTATTTATAATTTATAAAAAATTATATTTGATGACAATAAAAACTAAAAAATTAATTTATTTTAAGTAAATTATTATATATAATAAATAATTGTATATATTTTTCTACAAATATTAAATTTGAAAAATAAAAAATAAAAAAAATATTATATAAATTTTTAAATAAGCTTGTAGGCTAGATCAAACTTTAAAGTAAGTGGCCTGGCTACTGGCTCCCTACTGCTAATTAGCCTTGACCAAATTTGCATACCTATGTTGGTAGTAATTAATGATGGATTATTGAAATTTAGTTCTCATTAATCTCACTGTAATTAGTGAAATTAAATAAATAATGCAGAGAATCTTTGGACTAATGACAAAAGGGAATCTGAAATTAACAAGACTTGCTTCTGTTCTTTTCTTTCCTTACTGTACAAGAAAATAAAATGCTACTTGGGAACGAAACACTTTTGTTCAAACACAGAATCTGCCTGACAAAGTTCAGAAAGTTGCAACCTTTTGAAAGCTAACATAGTAAAAAAATAAAAATAAAAATAAAAATAAAAATTACATTACCATTGAAATAACACAATGTTTACACTCTTGGAAGCGCTACAAATATACAGTGATTAAACAAAAGCCAAGTAAAGGATCAAGTATGAGACAAACTATGCACCAACTATGGCTATGGCAACTTTGAATGAAATTAAGGCATCTATCTCATCATATGAAATCAACCAAAACAGTAAAAACATTATGAAAAGACGAAGCACAGAAACGGTAGAGATGGAGAATCAATCACATGACAACACAGGCACTTGGATTTTCATCACTGAAAGCAGTAGTGTACCGTACCTCGGCAGAGCTCGCCCTCGCAAGCTGCGAGATCTGTGGATCCTCAGCTCTCCGTACATATCCTGAAGGTGCTTTTTTATCATACACACCAGGCGCGTAGGGGTGCGCCACGACGTCGTATGGTACATATGGCCAGAATTCCGCCTTCTTCCCCGTGCGGTGCAACACACGCGCCAGCACTTTCCGAGGCTCAACGTAGCCTGTAACCGTCAGTTTGTTCTGCTTCGGAGACACTTCAACCGATGTCACGCCTTTCATTCCTTCCACAGACCTTCGCACCTTCCTCTCGCATCCTTCGCAGTCGATTTTTATCTTTATCTCCACAGTCTAACAAAAAAATTCAAAAAAAAAAATAAACCAATCGCTAGAGAATCGCGTCTGTAATTTCACTGAATCGAAGCTGATCGACCGACATAGATATCAATAACCTATTTACACTATAAATCCATTCCAAACCGAAGCTATTTTTCGAGATCGGCGAAATAGACATCAATCCTGAGAAATCCAGAGAGATATTTCGTACCTGGAACTGTTTGCGCTTCTTGTGCTTGGTATGACCGCCGGAGCAATCGAACATGTCCGATACATGATCCAAAACCCCCATGCTTGCAGGCTTCTCGTTTCCCTCGCTATTTTACAGCAACTTCCAGCACGCTCTCGACGATCCGCAGCAAAAATCAGCAAGCGAGCTCTCTGTTACTCCGCCAAACTCCACAGTATTTGAACACAGCACGATTGAGGCAGAGAAATATCTATCCGAGTTAAGCAATAAACAAATTTTTCGTTGGCCAAACGCTTGACAGCAATGGATGGACTGTTGTTTGCGCCGTAACTGCTCTGGATACAAAATCTGGGGAAGGGCCGGCATTTATAGAGAAAACGGACCGTTGGATGGGGACGTGCTGGCATAGACTGATGCGCGCCACGTGGCAGATAGATCTATCGGGATCCATGCACCGCCCCCAATTTAGTCGGTCCATTAACCTGCTAAACGATAAGCTGTAATTATAAGCAGAAGACTGAGATCGGATCTGGTGGGACCCGCCTGCCCAAGCTGGAATTGGTCCCATTTGTCTTTATTGGGTCCACATGGCCCATAACAGTGCGCTTTAATTTTCATTATAGTCTTAGCCCAATTTCATTACAATAATACTCCCTCATTTCGCTCCAAAAATTAAAATATTTGGGTTCAACACTAAAATTAATTAAGAAAAATAAATATTTTATTAAAAAACTGATAAAAACAAAAAAGCAGTTGAAATATTTTTGAAAAATAAATTAGAAATTTAAAAAAATGATAAGAGAGACTCTAATAAAAATAGTGACACTTGTTGTAAATAAGTGTTGAACAGTGAATAATAGTTAAATATTGATTTATTGATTTGGTCAAAATTAATAATAGGTAAATTTAACAGACATACAAAAAAAGAAAAAGTACTAAATATTTTTTTTTGTTGGGGGAGGGGAGGGGAGGGGGGCTAGTTGTTATGTAAAGTAACTTTAATTTTTACATAAATTACAAAATATTAGTATTATATATATAACGTGCAAAAATATTAAAGTTATTTTATACATTTGTACTAATCAATAAACTAATATTATTTTTTAATTCACTATAATAATTCAAAAAAGTATATTAGTTGGGAGGAAGTATCTATAGTTTTTTAGTTACTTTCTCCATCTTATTTATGCTCAAATTTTTGGATACAATGATAAAAATAGAGTTATTAACGTAAATTTTGAATTAAAATAGATAATGTAAGAAAGGCATATGGTTTATCCGTGACATAAATAATAAATAAAGATTTAAAAAAGAATTATACTCTCTTCGTCCCTTATCGATTTGTATCCGTTTGCTTTTTGCACAGAATTTTAAAAATATTAATATTATATTGAGGTGTAGTATAAATAAAGTAAAAAGAAAAAACTAAAATAATTTTATTAGTATTGTGTGATATTAAGGTAATGACATTTGTATAATATATTGTAAGTTGTAAATGTATTTTTAATATTAATAGAAAATACAGTTACTAAGAAAGAAAATTGATACTTTGTTATAAGACGGACCAAAATAAAAAAATAGATAAATTGTTAAAAACCTGATAGTATAAATACTTTTTTGTTGACAAATTAAAATAATAAAATAAGCACACCTTTACACGATAAAAGAATTAATATTTTTGGATACTTGTATACCTTTATGTTGCGTTTATTTTGAGGCATTTTACAAAAAATTATTATCTATGAATTTTATTTTTTATAAATATCAAATTAAATATTTATTTTTTATTTTATACTAAAAAAAAATAGTTTTATATTTAAAATATTATATCAAATATATATTATAATCTATTAAACAATTATTTTAATTCTAAATTTTAGAATTCAAACATCAAACTAACTCGAAAATCCAGACAAACACATTTATTAGAAATTATGATATTGTTTGAATAAGATAATTTATTATTATTTTTTAAATATTGTAAGATAAAAAAAATAATTTTATTGAAAGTATGAGTAAATTCTTTTATTGAGAATAGTCTATACATAATATATCTTTGATTTATTAATGTATTTATTCTTTTTATTATTAAATATATTTTAAAAAATATTCAAAATTTTATTACATTGCACGTTTTGAAATTGAAAACCTTTCTTAAGGCTCATTCAAGAAGTTTCGAGTTTAAGGTTTAATATAAAAAGAAAGCTTTATTAAAGTAATACTATAATACTCACTTGATAATTTAAAATTCAATATTCAAATATTAGAAAAAAAAAAATAAAATTTTACAATGTGTCATCAACTTTTTTTTATATATATAAATAAAAAGATAAAAACTTTACAATGTGTCATTAACTTTTATTTATATGAATATATATATATTTAATATTTTTAAACAACTACATATTAAATTATAACTTACTTTACAATGAATAATACTCCCTGTGTCCAGTTAGAAAATATATATTTTTCTATTTTGGGACGTCTAATTACAAAGTAAACATTTCATTAAATACCTTACTTTTTTCCACAAATACCCCTACTTTAGATCATATCATTACTTTTACACCAAAAAGCAAGGGCAAAAATGTCATTACATTACTTTTAACTACCCACTATAATTAAAATACTATTATTTCTTAAACACCGCGCCAAAAGTAATTGTATACTTTTTTTTTGTGGACGGAGGGAGTATCTCATAAATAAATTGAATTTTCAATATATTCGGATTTGTTTGTTTAGTGTTTTGATTTAAAGAATTTTTTTTATATAAAGTATAGAAATTTATGTTTTTAATATAAAAATAATATTTTATGTTAAAAATTATTATATCGCGAGAATATCAAATAATTATCGAAAATTAAAATTTGATATCAAAATAATTTATCGGAATAAATCCGAAAATTACGATAATTTTATCGAAATAAATCCGATAATCAATAATAATTTATCGAAATAAATTTGATAATCACATCGAGTCGAGGTAGAACCTATTTCTAAAAAAAATAAATACGTTCCGGTAGTATCTTTCGGTTCGTAGCTGCAACGTTCCCAAATAAATAGCAATTTTGAAAACCTACATACGTAGCAAACATTTTTATGCAATTTAATTTGATAATATATTATGCATTAATTATCATTATGCAATTTAAATTTTGAATTGCATAATCACTGTGTGTTATTAATCGTTTGCATATAATGGTGATTTTTATGCATGTATTTCAAAAACCTCGATGCATGCACGTATTTATAAACTCAACATAAGTTGTATTTTACATTATGCATGCAATTATATTTGAAATGCATTATATATTTATTCATCCATACATTCATTTAATTTGAGGCTATTAATTTCTTGGGTTTTAGATTTGACAAAAAATATTTGTCATTTCAATTAAACTCCGGAGTACAATGAACTATATTAATCCATTTAATTACCAAACCTAAGTCCAAACACAAACCCACAACCATATTATTTGGTTCGGACAGACAACGCGCGCCTATGTCTACCGGCATTCATATACCTACCAGCGAATAATTGATTTCGAAAATTATGAATTTAATTTATAAATTAAATTTTATCAATTAAATAAATAATTGATTAACCGATTATCCAAGAATATATGTATTAAAACTTGTATCGATTATGGACTTTAACCAATCACACACTAATAAGAATTTTATGGGGATTTAACATTAATTAAAAAATAAAATCTATATTTTGTGACCAACTAATAAAAGATAAAATGTCTCTTAAAAATAAATCCAGTGTAATATTTCACATGTTTATAAATATATATATATATATATTCATATCATAATTAGTAAAATGTTAATATATAATTTTAAAATTTTTATCAATAATTTTTCTATCTATTTATTGATGGACTTGTATAATTTTTTACATTCATTTTATTTTAATTAAAGAATATGTTTCATTCAAACTTTATTTTTATAAAATATTACCTCGGTCTGGCTTTAAGGGTCAAATTTACTTTTTCTATTTTGATATTTGAATATTATATCAAAATGTAGTACAAATTAAAAAAATTGTAAAAATACTTCCATTAGTTTCTTATAATACTAATAGAATAACGTTTGTACAAATATAATCATAAATTTAATGTTAAGTACAAAGGTAAATGTGACCGTTGAAAAAGCGGAGCAGATGGAAAGAGAATAAAACTTATATTATAATAAGTATTGTTGAGCACGAAAAAACGATGGGTAGGGTTTCGAGAATGGGCCTATCAAATTAGATGAAGGAGTGATGCAGAGTTTTAATGGGCTTGTTAATAGTAATAGGATCTTAAAAAGAGAGTCCGAATATAAGTCCGAGGGCGGTTAAGGAAAAGGCTTCCTCGGGAGAAAACAGAGATCAGACAGGATAAGGTCGGGCACAGAGGTCAGGCACAGAGATCGGGTGTGATAAGGTCGGGCCCAGAGCTTGGGCGTGATAAGGTCGAGCACGGAGATCAGACATGATAAGGTCGGGTGCAGAAATCGGGCGTGATAAGGTTGGGCGTTAAGATCGGATGTTGTAAGGTCAGGCACGAAGGTCGGACTTGATAAGGTTGGGCACTGAGGTCGGACGTGATCAGGTCGGGCTCGGAGGTCAGGCGCGATAAGGTCGGGCACTGAGGTCGGATGTGATCAGGTCGGGTACGGAGATCGGACGTGATAAGGTCGGGCGTTAAGATCGGATGTGGTAAGGTCGGGCGCGAAGTTCAGATGTGATAAGGTCGGGCATTGAAGTTAGGCGTGATCAGGTTGGGCACGGAGGTCAAACATGATAAGGTTGGGAATATAATTTTTAATTAGTTTACTTTTTCCAGTATGTAGTATTTAGTTTCCTATTTTACTTATGTATGGTACTGTGTCTAGAGATTTTTAATCTCAGTCATTTATTTTATCAAATTCGAATATAATTTTTATTTTTGAATTTTACTTTTTATTGTTAAACAATTGCATCAACAAATATATTTTTAATCTCGGTAAAATTTAACATATTTTTAGACAGAAATACATATTTTGATAAGAAAAAAAGAAAACTACATATAAAAATAAAAATAATGGAATGAATAATAGTAATAATAATAATAATAATAAAAGGTCACGTGATTTGGTGGTGGGAACGGGGAAGGAAGCTAGTGAGTGGTCCTCTCCTGCAATAATCCACATTTCATATTCATTCACAATAGTAATGGGAAAAGTCGGAATTCTTTTCATTCTAAGGAAAAGCCTGTCCACATTGCATGCACTGTCATTCACTCTCCTCGCTCTTACTTTTATTTTATTGTTCTAAACCGCCTCTAAATTTTAAAATAAATAAAAAGTATTTAATATAATATT